CAGCTGAAATATAACTTTCTAGGATTTGATCTTCAGTGCTTTCTTTCCCAGCAAGGTGTTTTTCTTTTTTTAAGGTATTTGATCCAGATGAGTTTCCTAGGCACTTATCTGATGTCTCCCTTTTTTCTGAATACCTCTTCATTATCCACTTATTAAATCTAAGTTTAAGAATTTGTGATAGGCATTTAAGTCCAAATTCTATGTTTGAATTTACAGGAGTCAGTGAGTCCAGAAGTGCTGTCATGTGCAGGCCAATATCTGGCTACGGCAGTTGGAGGCAAATAGGCTTCACCAGTCTCAAAGCCCTAGCTACTATAGTGAGTCCACACTTCTTCTGGATCTTATCTATGTCAGCAAAAGAAGGCCACCCAGTACACCAGGCTTTGGGTAGAAATTGCTCAGTCGTCTAGTCTCCTTCAACAGCCAAACTCATTGCCACTTTCTTCAGTAGTAATTACTGCAGCCCAGAGACTTTGGTAGCCTAGCGACTATAACTAGTCATGCTGCAGTCTGGTCACAGTCTGATAAAACCACAGAGCAACAAAAGCAAAAATGCTGACTTAAGCCTCCTAAAATCTCTCTAAACCTACGTTCAATAAATACGGTTTTTCTTCATAACAACTGCTGTGTTATTACTTCCTAAACTAAAGCATGGCCTTGGATTGTTTCCATTTCATTCTTGAAAATGATTCACAGTGTGTCTTTAACATGAACGTGAATATAGGATTTCATTTATCAACAAATAATGTTTTCAAAACAATGTAACTTAAAAATGCAAAAGTGCAAAATTGTATTTCTGAACTTGACTGGTCTTTCAGATTATATTTTCATACCTACTCACTCACACAAATTTTCATATCTGTATGTTCTCCTCAAGTGGGGGAAAATAGTATCAGAGTTCCTGAAGAATTTACGAAGGAAAGGATGACAGTGCTACCCAAGGTTTAACGTACTCACAGCACTGTATTCAGTGAATGAAAACATTGCTTTTCAAATCCTACTAAAGTAGTGAGTAAATAGATAAAATATATTATTACAAAAACTCTACCATATGTGAATGTGAAGAAAATGGAACAAGAGTTAAAATACATAAACAAACAGATGAGGCTGGGCCTGGTGGCCCATGCCTTTAATCCCAGCATTTTGGGAGGCCCAGGCGGGTGGATCACTTGAGGTCACGTGTTCGAGACCAGCCTGCCAAACATAGTGAAACCCCATCTTGACTAAAATTACAAAAATTAACTGGGCATGGTGGCATGCACC